ACAAAGTCTTTTTTGCTCAAGAATTTGCAAACTTGTTCTTAAACTAGGAATAAACTCATCTAGAGTGAGTCGAGCAGTTTTGCTATGGAGTCATCCGATGACTCGACTTATGGAGTCATCCACAGTTATTCACAAATCGTATATTGACACGTGTCCTACAATAAATACACTTTAGACAGGTATCAATACATTAAGTAATTGATGGCTCCATAAGAAAACCATCCGATGGCTCCATCAAATTTTTGGTGAGCCCTTTTGCTATGGAGCCATCGAATGGCTCGGCTTATGGAGCCATCTACAATTATTCACAAATCACAGAGGTATAATAAAGAGGGCTCACAGACTAGAAAGAAAAGAAACTTTAGGCCATCGAATCTGATAAAAATACAACTACTTTCCGCCATAGAAGCTGAGATTTTCAGACATCCTTACTCAGATTCAAAGGTACATAGATAGTATCGAGCTCACAAGAAGACCAAGTTTCGTCTCTCCAAAACAAAAATGAAGTGAAAAAAAACCAATCACAGCTGATTTAACTGCTCGCAAATAACTCGATAATGATGATAATCAATGGAGGTGATAAGAGCATACCTTCGAAACGCTCCTCGAAAATGACTTCAGCGAAGGAAGAGCAGAAGAAGAAGAAGAAGAAGAAGAAGAGCGCTAGTGACAGTGGCTTGTGCTTCTTAGCCATTACTTGAAGAATGAGGAGGAGTTGTGTGCTGTGGGCTAATTATAGGATTTGTTATGTCTTTTCAATTTCAACCCCTTGACTTGTGTTTATTTACTGTCGTGCCCTTGTTTTAAATTTTACAGTCGACGACTTTTGAAGTCTTCGATGGGTCAGCTGGCAGTGGCACGTAAGTTCCTCCAATCGGATTCCTTCTCCTTTTACGCTCTTTACTTTATTTTTAATATAATAATATAGAGAAATGTTACGGTCCCGTTACGGAACTATTTTGTTGGATTTTGTAACCGTTAGATCATCATGTAACCGTCAGAGATAGTTGATATAACGGTTACAAACCTCGACGGAATGATTCTGTAACGAGACTGTAGCATTTCCCTATAATATAATAATACTTTGGTAAAATTGTATTTTTAGGTATGCTGGTTTAACCAGAAATTCTATGGTGCCACATGTGGCACCATATTATGGTGACACAACATGATGTGGCACATTATGATTGGTGCCACACTATCACACATCATATTGTGACACTAACCATAATGTGTCACATCATGTTGTGGCACCATAGAATTTTTGTGGTTTAACACCGTAGCATTTTTAGTTCCCATAGTTTTTACTTTTTGCCTTCTGATCCTGTAATTTAGTATTTCGCTGTAATTTCAGTCTTCTTGGATTGAAATTGCAACAAAATTTAAAATTACAAGACTTAAATTTTCTAATCAAAAATTGATCCAAAAGATTTTTTATTAGCAATTTAAGTCTTGTAATTTTAAATTTTGTTGAATTTTCAGTCCCAAAAGACTGAAATTACGTTGAATTTTAAAATCACAAGACCAAATGGCAAAAATGTTTAATTCATAAGACTAAATATGTCACTTGATCAAATCAACAAGACTAAAATTGCAATTTCGTAAAATACTTTTAAAATTATAAAATACTTTATTAACAAATATATATTTTAGAAGTTAATAAATCATTTATACTTTGTTGTCATATTTTTTTACATATTGTAAATCAAATTAATCAAGTTTCGATTTGATATCCACATTTGTTATATAAATAAATATATATCTTCAGTATTTATAATAAACGTTAAATTATCTATAAACATTAACTAACGATGATAAATTAATTATCAATTAGGTTCACTATATAATGCAAATTAAAGAATATTATAATATATGAGAAATAAGTTGTACGAGTGTGATTTAAATGTAAATAGTAACAATAATAATGATGATATCTTTATATATTTTTAAATTTGAAGTAAAAAGTTTTATTTTATTATATTATTATAATTTTGATTAAAAAAAAATTATTAGCACAAATGTAGTACAGTGATGTAGTTGTCCCTACCAATTGCCATTGACCCTTGCTACTACCAAGTCTTCTCAGTCAACTTGAGGCATGCTTAGACTTACTGTTACTTCATTCTGAAATTTTATATTATTTTAGATTTTTAGAATTTTATGCATTTGCATTGGACATTTCGAAAATTTCTTAAAATCTCGACGTATTCATTTGAAAATTTGAAGAAGTGTTATAAAGTTATGAGTCATTTATCACTTCG